CGCGAGAGCCCCCCGGCCCGGGCTTTTCTGGGTGCCCAGGGGGCGGGGCCGCACCCGTCTGCTTTGAGCTTTCGCGGAATCCCAGTTGTCACAGCGGAAAGGGCCTAGGGACCCGGTGACTCGAGAGTCTTCCCATTTTACAGTCGGGGCTGGCGAGGCACCCAGAGGCGGGCTTTCCTGGAAGTCATTCCTGGAAGGAGGAGCCCTGGTTAAGATAAGTGGTTCAGGACCCCTATTGCCTTTTTCTGTGAGCCGTTTTGGAGTCCCCACTGTTTTTAAGCACTGTAGGTTACTCGAGGCCAGACTTTGCCCCCAGGGAGAGCTCACCGGGAACGAGGAGCCAGACCTGACCCAAAGTAGGAAGGGCCAAATGCTGGGGAGAATGCGAAGATCAGGTTTTTTAGGGGGGTTCTCAGGAAGGAGCTTCATATTTCGGTCTCCATGAGGGGTCCAGAAATGGTTCTGGAGGGGGTGGGGTGGGGTGTGTGTGTGTGTGTGTGTGTGTGTGTGTGTGTGTGTGTTTGCTTGTGATTGACTGTTTTGAAGGATGGGGACTTTTCTTAAGTAAGAAAGGCAAGGCCTTCCTTGTCAGGGAGGCAACTGCAGACCAGAGAAAGCTAAATAAGAGTGAGGAGTGGACACTGCGTTGGTGGCTTGGGGTGGGAGTATGACAGGAGACCATAGCAGTGGAGTTGTGTCTTGGGTACTTGGACAGGGCAGTGTAAAATGCCTCTAGCCTCTTTTCTGTTTTAGAAGGGGTTCACTGCTTCCCCTCCCCCACAAGGAAGGCCTAGCAAGACCTCACCATGGATCCTTTCTGTGACTTTCTTAACAGACTCTTCATCGTTTGGTTTCTATACTTCCTACCCCCTTTGCAAGCTTGCCTCTGCAATAAAACTTTCTCTCCAAGATGTTAGTGACTTCATGGTTCACCATTCCCCTAACAGGCAAGTTTTCAGAGAACCTTTAGAGGAAGAGAGGGAAAGTGTATAGCTGTGCTGCAGGATAAGTTAACCTTGCTCTGACCGCTTTTCTCATTTTTACAAATAGGGAAACAAACCCACTCAACAGAGGTTGAGTGCCAGCCCTGTGGTCTCTGGTAGATAATGGTAGATTGAGCTGGTGGTGGTGTACAGAAACCCAGTAAGATTCTTACCTTCCCAAGAGTCTCCTGGTGAGATTCTCACCAGCACCAAGGGGGCATTTAAGGAGGAAATTATGTATCTTGCATTTAATCTTTGGAAAGCAGCCTGTGGAGTCCAGAATGCTGTCTAGTGAGGATCAGCTGTTTGAAGGGTAGGGGGACATGCCAGGGGTCCTGAGGCCTGGACAGTGTCTTGTCTTAAATCTTCTGAACACCCCCACCCACCCAAATTTGATGTAAGCAGCTCTGGCCTGGAGTTGGGTTTGGGCAGTGGGAGGTGGAGCCAGTTCTTGAATTGATCATTATGGCTGGGATTGAGTAGCACCCTTCGTGGAGGGACATTCTGGCAAGGAGGGCATTCCTCTGAGAGGGTAGACATTTCCAGACAGTGATAGGTAGGAGGGGAGACTTGATTTCGAAAGGCTTTAGGAATGCCAGGCCATATGACTTTTGAGGGTTTTGAGCAGGCAGGAACATGATTGGGAGATTGGCATTGAGAAGCCTCTTGCTGCCCAGTTACAGGGATAGAGGTGATAATTTGGCTTAAGAAAATGATAATGGGTTGTTTCATTTGCTTGGCATGTGTTGGTGAACACCTATTATGCACCACTGCCAAATATGGTGAAATTGTATGGCAGGTTCTTATTTTTATTAATTAAGTTCTAAACTACACCTTTTCCATACCACTGAAATGTATTGTCTTTTCATCACAGATGTGCCCTAGTTGAAGAGGTTTTTATCTAAAGTTGGTAATGATACACATCCTATAGTCACCGTTTTAAATTTGGTAAAATTTGGTTGCCACGTCCTTTCTAAATGTATAGTACTTTTGCACTTTATAAAAAATATTTTTCTACCAAATATTATATGGGAATTTCTTGAGAAGTAAGCATGGTGACAGGCCCATCTCCTTTTTAACCCAAGATCTAAGGTTATGGAGCTAACTAGAGGTGTACACAAAACTGTTAATTCCCGACTTGGGGTTCTTGGTGCAAACATGTAACATTACCTCGATGTGGAGCTAGCATGAGTTAATTGGTGCTGAAGCAGAGGCAGGTTAGCTTTGATTCCAGAATTACAGTTTATAGTGCTGGGGTGATGGGGCCGGGTAAACCAAGGACAGTATAACCCATAAGGGCTGAGAATCAACTGCAGGTAACTTGATAAGCAGAGGCTGGGGGTTCAGGAAGGAGACCTGGTGTGGAAAGCATAGGCCCGTTCCCCATAGACCAGAGAGACACTGGCTGGGCTGCTGGGAGTACAAGTTGAGGAGGCCATCCTTCCTGTGTTGGAGGAGCACCAGGTGTGTGTGAATGTGGAAAAGCATGGAGGGTGTGGTCAGTGTTGTGGCTACTCAAGAGGCTGGAAATGCTCAGTCTCTGGGAAATAAACCGCCATAGATGGGTACTGCATGAACCGAATCTCCAGGGCTAGGAAAGAGAAATGTAGGTGGAGAAGGAAGGGGTGAGCCAGAGCTACTAGACAAAGGAACCACTGTGCAGGTGCGGGGAACGGGGCGGTTTATTATGGCTATGTTTTGAAGGGTCAGCATGTTTGTGGAGGTTAGAGAACAACTTTGTGGAATCTGTTGGGTTCCAGAAACTCAAGCACCATGTTTGTATTGCCAGTGCCTTTGCCTAGTGAGCCTTTTCGCCTGCCTTGAAAGAGAGGACTGATTTTTTTTTTTCCCCCGGCAAAGTATAGTTTATATTTGTCTTGCAGCTGTGGGGCCCATTAATCAGCTCTATCGAGGGTCACCATTTATAGGAGAACAAGGCTGGGTAGGGCCTCTGGAAGCTTCGCTGTGGGATTGAGTGTACGATGTTGAGGCAGAAGGCACAAGAACCCTTTTCATAAGTAGAGTGAACTTGAGACTTTGACCCAGCACAGCAAGGAGGGCCTCAGAGCTGGATGTGGGCATTGGTGGGTGGGGACGTTTCCTGGAATATGGCTTTGGAATGCAGCTCTTTGCCTAAACTCACTAGAGGTGAGGAAAGGGAGAGAAAGTGGCCGTTGCCGCTACTGTGTAAGGGTAGAACCTGGGTAGAAATCTGTTGGTCTGAAGGTGCATATGAGGTATAGAACCTGAGCATGAGATTGGAGCTGGTGAGGAGCAGTGGGAAATAAGTTGAGGGAGTTTGCTGTAGCTGCCTCACGGCTTGGGGTGTTCCTAATATAGGTCACAGGGATGAGATTGGTCACTAGCTAAGGGCTAAAGGCAGTAAGGCTTAGACAATAACCATAAAGCTGAGGCTCGAGAGTGTTTATCTTCCTCTCCTTTCTAGGTAGCAATATAATTTAAAAGTTTTGAAAGCTCATGTAATTACCACATTGATTCCCTAAGATTTATGATTGCTGTGGCTTGGGTGTGGTTTGTCCCTCCAGGACTCATGTGTTGAAGGCTTGGTTCCCAAGTATGTACAGCATGGTGGGACTTTTCCTGGCTTGTTCTTTAGGTGGTTAAGGGAGTGTCTTTTTTTTTTTTTTTTGCATGAGAAAATTAACTTTTTGTGGTTTAAGGGGGGTTTTTTTTTTTTTTTTTTTTTTTTTTTTTGAAACCTTACTTGAAGAGGTAGTTATGGAAAAGTGAGCCTGACTGATTCCTGATTGGCTCTTTGTTTTCCTGTTGGGTGATGTGATTTATGTCCTATGGACACTCCCATTATTTTGGTGCCATCCTCCCTGCCATCACCAGAGCAGAGGTGATACTGGTGATGTGCCTTGAGCTTCTAGGAACCCTGACTTAGGTAAGCCTCCTTTCTTCATTGTGATCCCCAGTTTCAGGTTTTAGGTTATAAGTTCTAAAATTGGCCCGATGCGATGACTGTCAGTCTCATTTTACAGATGAGAAAATGAGTGTGGTGAAATGAGGTTGCAGGTCTAAGTGGTGTCTTTCGTTCTAAACACTTGTCAGGCCTGTGTCCTCTTCACTGGACAGTATTGTCTGTGTCCACAATCCAGAAAACTAGAGATCCATAGTGCACTAACTGGGCCTTGGGTTTGCACCTGAGGATGAACCTGGGCAAGTGGGCTTCTTGGTTCCATGCTGGTGTTACCACAGACCCTTTTAGTCTGCTAGC